AGAGAGAGAGAGAGAGAGAAAGAGAGAGAAAGAGAGAGAGAGAGGGGGGAAGAGAGAGGGAGAGGGAGAGAGAGAGAGAGAGAGAGAGAGAGAGAGAGAGAGAGAGAGAGAGGGGGGGAGAGAGAGAGAGAGAGAGAGAGAGAGAGATTACTTCTGACACTTCTGTCTATGTGATTGTGAATGTGTGCAAGAAGAGGAGTACGCCTTTGAAGTCCTTTACTTTGGGCAAAGATAGTTCAGCCTACGTAGGGTGTAGTATCTTTGCTTTGGGCCACAGAATTCTACACTTTGGGCCCATTCGACGTCACCCACAAGGCGGTGACTCCGGATTGCCTAAGGGAAAGAGCCTTGAATATTATCAGAGAGTATTTAATAATAGAGAGCGGAAACGAAGCCTCTTTTCGCGTATCCAGGTCACCAGCTGATCGTGAAACGAGGCGCGGTAAACAAAGCTAATGGCGGCTGTCGGCAGTCGCAAGTCACCCGCAAGTGTAACTGGTGTTTTGCGGCAGTCTGCGTCCGTGCCAATTCAAGATCACACAATTACCAGACCTAGCATTCTTTAGCTTTCCAAAGGACCCTGAAATGTAAGAATTTGCACATGTACTTTTTCATTAACCTTATTTAATATCGTTTTTCTCATGTGTAGATCTAGATCTAGGCTTATCTAGAATCTAGATCTAGATCTAGGCCTAACTAGATATCTAGATCTATCTAGATCTAGATCTAGATCTAGAATACCTGGACTCTAGACCTAGATCTGGAAACCTAGAGATATAGATCTAGATCTAGATATAGATCTAGATCTAGATATAGATCTAGATCTAGATTAGATAATAGATCTAGATCTAGTATCAGTGTCCGGGTCCTGATTAGAACTAGATCTAGATCTAGATCTAGATCTAGATCTAGATTCTAGGTCTAGAAGGGCCTAATGTAGCGGGCCTAGTGGGTCTACTAGGACCTGATCTAGATCTAGATCTATCCTTGGGCCTTATTATCATAGCATAGACATACTATAATGTTTGCTTCTACACATTCCTTCCTCTAATTCTTCACAACACATGCGACAGTGCAGTCGATTAGCCTAGTTACTGTTCGTCCCGTCATGCCAGGACGAAACATTGTTGTCAGTTGTTAAACCTTGGAGGACGAAACATTGTTGTTAAACCTTGGAGGACGAAACATTGTTGTTAAACCTTGGAGGACGAAACATTGTTAAACGTTGGAGGACGAAACATTGTTAAACGTTGGAGGACGAAACATTGTTAAACCTTGGAGGACGAAACATTGTTAAACGTTGGAGGACGAAACATTGTTAAACGTTGGAGGACGAAACATTGTTAAACGTTGGAGGACGAAACATTGTTAAACCTTGGAGGACGAAACATTGTTAAACCTTGGAGGACGAAACATTGTTAAACCTTGGAGGACGAAACATTGTTAAACCTTGCTATAACTTAACTAGATCTAGCGAATAATACACGTTTTTCTGGGGGGGGGGGGGGGGGGGGGGGGTTAGATGTGGGATGAATGTCATTTAACTATCCAAAAAAGATTTTAATTTTAAAATCTCCAGTAGATGTACTTTCTAAAAACTGTTAATCAATCAAGCACTTTTCTCTTTTATGAAATGAAACTAAAGGAGTAGACCTAGATCTATATTCTATATAAATCTATGAATTTTGCAACATTTAACTGCACACGTGAGAATATGGGCCTCCACAGTGTATTATTTATTGTGAGCCCCGGTCTACCTGTAAAACTCTGTGTTACAATCTAAGTTTTTCGCACTCCTACCAAAAAGTTATAATATATTTCTGATGTAAAAGATAAAAATGGGTAATGAATTTAGAATTATCGGAAGGCTGACTTTGGTTCTCAAGATAGTAAGTCACCTATACGTGTACCATGGAAATGCATTGTCACAATTGTGCGCTGAGCAATTTGAACTGTGGAAATTTGCATATTGAACAATTCTAGTGCTGAATGCTGTGCCCATGCTGTTTACTGTTCCAAACCCTCCAAAATAAATAATTATTGTTCCCTCCAGGCCAGTTCCAAAGGATACAGGTCCTGTCCATGACAAAAGATCAAGTGTCTGCAATGTGATGTGAGAGTTTTGAAGAAGAAATTAAAAGCGGAAAAAACAAACCTTGACATCTAAGAAGACAATGTCCTGCTGTAATAGATCTACTACGGAATACATGTAACAAAATTAAAGAGACAAAGAAATTACAAAGCTTACTTAATTAATTAAGGAAGTGCTAGCTTGACCCTGTCAGGACCACCCTTGAAGTTTGTAATGTCCCAAATTTATGTGCCTGACAGAGAAGTATGGACAAAAGAATCAACAAGAGACAATGCATAAGGCAAAGCAGTCTAAGATTAGTAAGAAAGACTGTCACATTCACCCACTTGTAAGAGCCAGTTTCAGTAAAGTGCTATTAACTTCAAGCCATGAAAGATGCATAACGTGTTCATATTATATAATATTGATTATAAAGGCCCCTGGTGGGTTCGATCTGTCGCATTGTATTCCTGATTTTATTCATATGCCTAGCCTACACAAAACGAAATCTGTTTTATGTTTCTACAGTTTGTTGCATTTCCTCATCATTGCCTATTGCATGCTCTCTTTGTTTTCTCGCCAACTCTTCCCTACCCACAGTACAGACCCCATGCATGGCTAATATAATGTAACTAATTAATAAAATAAGTAAAAATGTATTAACCTTTATTAGGCTATCTTAGATTAAAACTGCTTATGTTGTAAGCTAGATCAAAGTTATATTTAGGCTAAGGCAGGCATATTTTTATTATGCTGGAAGCTTACAGATCTAGATCTAGATGACTTTTTTTTTCTTATGTAACTACTGACACTGACTAGATTTTTTAGATTAGATCTCTCGAATCTAGTTCTAGATAATCTAGATGTAGACATGTAGATGTAGATCTAGATCTAGTTTTCGGTCTACGTTATCAAGACATGTATTGGCTTTATGCCAGATCAACATTATTTTATAACTAGGCCTAGATCTAGAATTCAATTTTTAAATCTGTTGTCCTGTTTTCTTCCACATGTGTAAATTTTTCTGTAGGCCAGAAGAGAATAGATTGTAGAGGCAGTGTTTACAAATATGCAACCTTGGCCAGTTCTCTGATTGCGCTAGACCTAAGCCGCAGAAAGCTAGGCCTAGGCCCCTCTCTAGATACGACGCGCTTCGTTTCGATAAGGCCTGGCTAGGCCTAGGCTAGACGCGACGCGCTTCGCTGTCGATACCGCGCCTGGTTATTTTTAGCTCGCGTCTCAGCGGTCACGTTCGCAAATGCACTGTTGTCACGGACCGCGAGGCCTCGTTTCCTGTCTCTATATTTTAGTGCCTCTGATATTATGCATGTATTATAAAATGTGGTGCTGGAAAGAGGTGGCACGTCACCCATCGACAAGGGTCAAGCAATGGCGGCTCGTGATTTATAGAACTGACCGGCGGTCATTCACGTCGACTATTTTTCCCTCCCCCACCCCCTTCCTTCACAACACACACACTCAAACACACACACACACACACACACACACATAGGGTGGATTCTGAGTCACGCAATGGTAAGCACAGAATCAAAACAATTCAGAGTCAGATGGGAGAATTCGCCCGGGGGCGTGCGCGTATTGTGGAATGTTCTCATGCTTTATTTATTTTCTTTCGTTTTTCTATCC